CTATCTATCTATCTATCTATCTATCTATCTATCTATCTATCTATCTACACACAGACTATATTAGTGTGTGTATTTCACTAAAAGTCATTTCTTATAGTTGTGCAAAACATGTGCCACTTTCAGAGTGTCCATCAGAATCTGCCAGTAGAAGGGCCAAGGTGCTGTGATCCCTTAGGGGCTCAGCATAGTTGCATTTAGGACCTCCCAGTATTGTGTGTACAAGTATGAACCTTTAACACAATTGGAAAGCTATTTTAGCTGATAGTGTGACTCAAAAGGAAAGGAAGACTGTTCTGTGTGTTTGTTTAACCAGAAACTCTTCATTAATAGGGCTTAGTTGAAGCACTGATCTCACTGTAGCTTACAGTACTGCTGGATTATGAATTGTTTTAAAGAGTTCACAGACTTTCTCTTACCACTTTATTTGACATATCTGTAGCCCACCCACCATCCAGAGACCCTCAGAAAGCATCTGCATAGAGAGTGAGTCATGACTGAGAACCAAAATGCAACTAAACAAATGCAAAAAGATTGTCTATAGCAAGTCCATCCTTGATTTTACTGTATAACTAATATTCTAGGCTAGGATGCCTTATGAACTGGATTTAGAATTGTAAAGAACCGACTGACACTTAACTATATTCCTTTTTATATTTTTAGGGCCCAGTGGGTGTTCCTGGATTCCCTGGAATTTATGGAGTTCCAGTAAGTCTTTCTGGATTCCCCAGGATTTAAGTGTATCTCTTAGTATGGTTTTGGCCACCAACATTAAGTATGATTCTGAGTTTGAATTCAAATGCATGTTTTTGTGGTCCTTGACTGAATCTGTGGTTGGGTAGTCCAACAAAAATGGCATGGTGAAGGTAATCATATGAAGTTGGTAGGGCAGCTCTTCTGTTCTGCTCTAAGAGGATAATCTTTTGCTACTGGTTGAAGTAGAGCAAGGACCATTATACACAGTGAGTAACACAGCTGGGCCGGACCATAGAATGAACACTGAGACTCCAAGAGATAGTGGACTCCAAATAGCCACACAATAGCAGGTGATTAAAAAACAGCCACATCAGCATTAGTATCTGTTATTTCTTCTTTTGTGGTCAAGAAGGAATTGGTTAGGCATACACATATTTGTTGCTTTATGTTTAAAAAAAAGACTAGCCCTTGGAAGAATTTGAAAAAGGTATTCAAATCACTGGATGTCCCTACAACTACAAAGATCAGAATCATGCAAGCCACGAACTCCCATGTACATCATGGGAGCAAGAGTTGGACTTTGAAGAAGCAGGATAAGAAGAGTATTGCCACCTTTGACCTTTGGTGTTGGAGAAGACCCTTAACAATGTCATGGTCAGCCAGGAAAACAAAACAGGGATCGTCAAACAAAGCAACCCAGAGTTCTCACTCAAAGCATAAATGAACAGGCTCAGATGATCCCACTTTGGATGCATTATATGAAGAGACCTTGGTTTCTTGAAAAGACTTTCATGCTAGGGAAATTGGAAGAAAAGAAGTGGATAACCAGCAGCAAGGCGGATGGTAGTAAAAGACCTGAGGGGCCAGGTTAGGCATAAATTGGAATAGAGAAAATATGAGGTTTATGCGATCAACGGGAGATGACAGCGACTTGATGACACATCAAATTGAATGGCAAACTGCGAAGGGATTCGAAAGAGTCTTCAGTCCAGTGGAAGCATCTCCAAGGGAAGGACAGATGGCAGATCTGGGCACTTGGCATATGACTTTGTTGGAGGGAATAAGCCTGTTGGAGAAAACAGTGGTTTTTGTCTGTTCATTGATACATTTGCGCCTTTCCTAGCTGTCTTACTATATAAAGTTCTCTGGATGGTTTACTAATGAACCAACATTAAAAAAAAAAGAAAGACAAAATGGGAGACAAATTCCTAAAAGTAAGCATCAACATCCATAAATCAACAAAAATGTTCCGTCAGTCTGTCCTCATTTTTCCCCCTTATTTTTGTTCCACAAAGTATTTATGTCATGCTTCAGTACTGTAATTATGCATAAAGACACTTGGATTCATTTTATTTTACTGTATGCAACATGTGACCTTAAGTTAGTGGGACAGACAATGGAAATTAGGAATCATTTTCTTCCCCCAGCAATTTAGTTGTGTTTTTTTAAAATAATCACTCCTAACTAGAGCGGAAAATTGAAATATTTCAAGTTATGCCTTGTCTTCCTTCCTTATTTCCTTCCTTATTTCCTTCCTTCCTTCCTTCCTCTTTTTCAATAGAACTAATAAACAACCACTAAAGCCAGCAACATAAAACTCAGCAAAGAAACAAATTGAACATGCAGATTTAATTTAGTTTAATTCAATCAGGTTGAGCAGAGAATTGGAGGCTTTCAAAACACATTCTGGCTGCCCTGTTTTCATTTGTTCTTTCTCTCTTTCCTTTTCTTTTTTTCAGAGGAGACATTAATTTTCACCTCCCCACCTCAGCCCCTATTGCTTTGTGTCATAATAGCAGTTAAGGACAAAAACTATGGCTTAAAATACAATAACAGAATGAGTTGGATATGCAGTTTTGAAACCCCAGAGAAACCCAGATTTAAGTAAGATTTCTTCAAAATACCTTGGCTGGGTTCAGGTAATCTTTGACTTACGACCACAACTGAGCTCAAAATTTCTATTGGTAAGTGAGACATTTGTTAAGTGAGTTTTGCCCCATTTTATGACCTTTCTGTTGTTAAGTTAGTAACATAATTAGAGCCATAGTGGCACAATGGAAAATTGTTAGAGTGCAGTATTGCAGACAATTTCTGCCGACTGCCAGCAGTTTGATCCTCACCGTTTCAAGGTTGACTCACCCTTCCATCCTTCCAAGGTCAGTAAAAAGAGGGCCCAGATTGTTGTAAGCAATATGCTGACTTGGTAAACGGCTGTAAAGCACTATGAAGCTGTATATAAGTCTAAGTGCTACGGTGTTGCTATAGTTATTAAATGAATCTGACATCCCATTGACTTTGCTTCTCAGAAGATCGCAAAAGGAGATCACATGATCCCGGAACACTGCAACCATCATAAATATATGCCAGATACCAAGCAGCTGAATTTTGATCACATGACCATGGAGATATTGCAACAGCCATTAGTGTGAAAAATGGCCCTAAGTCACTTTTTTCAGCGCCGTTGTAACTTTGAAGAGTCACTAAGTGAACTGTTGAGGATTACCTGTAGTAAAGATGTTACAGCAGGGGTCTTCAAACTTGACAGCTTCAAGACTTGTGGACTTCAACTCCCAGAATTCCTCCTCCAGCCATGTTAGCTCAGGAATTCTGGGAGTTGAAGTCCACAAGTCTTAAACTTGCCAAGTTTGAAGACCCTTGTGATAGATAGATACATAGATAGATAGATGATAGATAGTTCAATGGATACATAGATAGGTAGGCAGATAGGTAGGTACAGAGAGAGAGAGAGATGATAGATAAATCGATAGGCGATAGATCAGGGGTCTTCAAACTTGACAGCTTTAAGACTTGTGGACTTCAACTCCCAGAATTCCTCCTCCAGCCGTGTTAACTCAGGAATTCTGGGAGTTGAAGCCCACCAGTCTTAAACTGGCTAAGTTTGAAGACCCTTGCGTTATAGGAATGATAACCAGGTGAGTTACCCCAAGCAGTGAATGTATCATCACAGTGGGGATGTGGGCATGGTGGGAAGAGCCCCACAGCTTCAGGATGGCTGTACAGGAATGGGTGGGAGGGAAAGAGGTCACCATAGGCCCTACCAAAGAAACTGCTACCAGATGGGCTTCATTTATTGTGTTGCTACAGCTGTTGGGAAAATCTTGTTTGTATCAGCCATCTCTCCCTGCATTTGTGACTTGTTAACCACTGATGTCCCAGAAAAAGGGCCTGAAGGAACTTCCCCTCCCCACCTGCCTGGCACATTCCCACTTTTCCCTCTCCAGCCCTCACCCCATCCCAATGTAGATGTTTAGCTTTTCCCACGGAAGGAGGTTGAGAAATTTGGAAGTTGAGATGCATCAGTCATAGCTTTTCAGCTGAAAATACAACACTGGCTGAATGGAAACATATCAGGGAGTGATAGCATATGGACTGGCTTGTATCAGCTCGTGCGTGTACGGTTCAAAAGCAAACAAAACAAAACCGCAGGCTGTTTGAAAAGCAGGATCTGGCATGGACTCAAGAGGGGCCCTTTAATGTTCCTAATACACAAATTTGTGCCTTCTGATTCGGCTGATTTCTCTCTTCCTTAAGTACCGTGTCCGTCCTGTTTGGATTAACTTAGAAATAAGTTTTCTTCACTGGGAAAGAGCTTATATTTAGTTCAGCGTACGTAGGATTTTGGTCTTGTACGTTGCAATTTAGATTATGACTGGTCCATCATCTTAAAGCTTGGAGTCTCCAAAGGTTCTCAGGAAGCTTGGTTTGGCCAAGAAATTCCTTCCAGAAATTACCAACCCTTTGCAGAGCTGGACAAGAAGTAATGGATGCAAATGAATCAAGGAGAGAAACAACCTAGAATTAAGGAGAAATGTCCTGACTGAGATCAATTAATCAGTGGAACAGAAGTTGCCTTCAGAAGTTGTGGGTGCTCCATCACTGGAGGTTTTCAAGAAAAGATTGGACAACCATTTGTCTGAAATGGTATAGGGTCTCCTGCTTGTGCAGGGGTTGGACTACAAGACCTCCAAAGTCCCTTCCAACTCTGTTATTCTGTATGTGACAAAAATTAAAAGTTATTGAAGATACGGGGATTCATTTCAACAACTGATGATGATGATGATGTTATCCATTCAGTCATGTGCGACTTGGTGATTCTATGGATCAGATCTCCCCCCCCCCCCCCCCCATCTGCTAATCTTGCATTGCTTCTTTGAGTTGTTCTTTGCACTGGGTGGTGTCAGCTTTAATGGTGCATTTCAACAACTCGTTCATTTCGAGCAACCATCGTCAAGTCTCCCTTTACTCATTCTTGATTCCTGGTGAAGTCACGAGCATTTCAGTGTGAACTTTTTTAGTTGCGATGTGGGAGAGGTGGACAGGAAGATCGGGGGATGGCCTCTCATCCCTATTCTAGCTTGCAGCCCTGAGGTGACTTGGGCCGCCTCCATCTAAATCCTCACCACCTAATATTATGTTAACCAAATGTAAATTAAATTTATTTCTGGCCCCACATCTTCTTGGAGAGAAGTCAACACATCACTCAAAGGCCAAATCAGGTCTTTGCATGAAAAAAAAAGTGATCTGTCATAAGGGATTATAATACGTTCTTTAACAGAAGACATTAAAACTCTGGGTGGCATACAGTTTTAGAAAAATAAAAATAAAAATCACACCAAGAAGTCACATAAGGGAAATATATAAACTGGTGATAATTTGAAAAATAAAATACTATATTTTTACTCCTACTACCATTGTGCTACAATACTCATTATTCTTTGTCATTATTGATAATATTGTAGTGGGCATTGAATTGCCAAACTAATGTAATTGTTAAACTTGCCAAGGTAGTCTAGGTCATGATACCTCTTTCTTGGAATTCTAATTATTATTATTATTATTATTATTATTATTATTATTATTATTATTATTATTATTATTATTTCTTTAGTGAGATTCAGAGCCTTTGGAGCTGGTTGGTAGCTCAACGGCTCGAGTCTTAACCAAGGACCTAAGAACTGTTAAGGTAGCGTCGGAGGATATAAGTTGTTCCAAGTAGGATGTTTTTTTGTAGAATCAGGGTATTCAAGTCTGATAAATTGAGACTAATAAATAATTAAAATTTGTTGTTGTTGTTGTTGTTATTATTATTATTATTATATAAACTCTAAAGCAGAGTCTTGAAAGCGTGTATTTCCTCTCTCTCTTATACACTAGTGAATTAGGGAATAACCAATCTGATCTTTCTAACTCTTTGTATTTCCTGGACTTAATGCATGTTTTGTAATTCTCATGGGACATTTACTCCAAGGTCATCTCTTTGGCTATCTAACCTGAAGATAGAATAATGAGGATTGAAGCTCAAGACAGCCTTGGAAAGTTGATGTAGGATTATAAGTGAAAATTAGTAAAACGTTCAATGTTCAAATCCTTTATTGTCATTGTACATCATGTATACAACGAAATTGGTTTAGCCTCTACTGGTACAGTCCATACAAGACTACAAGACAACAAGAATAATAAAGAATAATCCTTATATAAGTCGTTAGGGGTGAAAAACTAGTCATACGTTTCCATAGGGACCATATGGACTTAAAACCAAGTCCAGTTGCCTTTTGAAAAAGTACCTTTGGGACAACCATGGCCTGGATGACTGAGAGTCTCCATAGACAATGAAGAGAGATGTACCATCAACTAGCACTGATCTTATACGCTGAAACTCTAAGCACCAAACTCGAGTATAAGAAAGAGGCTCCGGGATGTTTACGGGATATGAAAGGAGAAGATAATTTCATCGATAAATCCTCTGTAGCCTTACCTGATTATCTGCTTAGGTTTGGGTCTGCTGGATTCCCTTTACAAACTTATTTCTACCAGATTAGCTTGTCCCCAGGAGATATCTGCAGCCTTCTGGCTATAAAACTAAAGACATAAATAAATGTATGAAGGACAGCATATGTTAGCTTTGAGTTGTCGTGGGTAAGCGCTTATGTTTTATTACAAGATGCTTTGTTGACATAAAATACTACCAAGCCCCAAACAAGGATTAATACAGAGATTTACACTATATTTACATTGTTTTCCTTAATAGGATTAACTCTTCAGGCGAGGTGCACGAAGTCTATTCAGTTCAAGGGAGAGACTAACTTGTGGTTGAATGGCAAGGATTGCTTTCTACAAGTGGGGAACAACAGCCGATTTTCCATCTGATAAATTTTTTTAAAGACATTAATGAGTAATTCTTGGTGTTTTCTCAGCTTGCGCTCTCTCCCCCTCTCCTCCTTGCCAAACTCAGAAAGCACCAAGAATCCCTCATTTCAACCTTGAGCTACAAATATTTTCCTTTATTGATACATTAATGAGTGTTTAGCTGGTGCATTGTTCTTTCCTTCCCTCCCTCTCTCTTGACTTCTTTCCAGGGGTGGGATTCTACCCATTTGGACCGGTTCTATGGAACCAGTTATTATGATTCTGCACAGTTCGGAGAACCGGCAAATCATGCTCCTGGTTGTCCCCTCCCTGCTCCGTCCACCCCTCCCCTCCCCACGCAGTCAATCCTTATTGTGCATGGGCAGCATCACTGACTGCAGTCGTCCCCTCCCAGTCACTCCTTAAGGTATTTCTTTTTCTTTTCTTTCTTTCCCGACGATCAGCTGTTCTGATGATCAGCTGTGCTGAGATTCCCCTCGCTGTCTTACTGCTTTGCTTCCCTGAGGCCCAGAAGGCACCAAAATGGAGCTGTGCCCCCCCCAGGCTCTGTTTTTTGCCTTCCTGGGCCCCAGGGAAGCCTTCTGGGAGCAAAAATGCTCCCTGGGAGCCTTCCCTGAGGCCCAAAAGCCTCCCAAAATTGGGGGTGCTGCCAAAAAAAGCCATGCCCACCAAGCCACATGGCCATGCCTTCCTAGTCACTCCCACCTAGCCACGCCCACTTAACTGGTTGTTTAAAAATTTGAATCCCACACCTGCTTCTTTTCCTTCCTTCCTTCCTTCCTTCCTTCCTTCCTCCCCTCCCTCTCCCTTCCTTCTTTCCTTCCTTCCCCTTCGTTATCATCATCACTACCTTTTTTGGGCGGGGCAGTGCTCTTTGAATTGTTGCACATTAATTGTCTAGTCAAAGGAATACCTTCCAGGCTTATTTTTAAAAGCGATACAACCATAATGTAAAATGATGGGCATATTTGGAAATACTTAATTCATGCCAGGAGCTGTTTTCCATAGTGAGCGTGACTTACACTTGGTAGTTGAGCAGCTTTCATTTTATTATTTTATACTATTTATTGTTAATCAGAGAAATCTTTTTAAAAATCAAGTTTGTTAGTCCATGATCATCACGTAAAATGATTTCAGTTCCAGGTCTGGCATTAGGCCTTTGCAATTAAATACATAATTTGTGCTGATGACATTCACCCTCTAGATTTTCAAACTAAGATTCTTACCTAAACAGATAGATCCGCCATTTAAGCTTCTTACGTGAAAAAGTTGTCTGGGTAAAATGTTCTTCACTTGTTTTATGAGGATGATGACATTTCAAAGGATAAAGAACAGTCAGAGTGCCCTAAATATTTGGATAAGTTTGTTGGCATTTAATGGTGAAAGAATATACTTGGAATTACTGCAGACTTGGTTGTTCACTGGCCTCATAGATCAACCTAGCAGTACTTAGAAACACAATAAATCTTTTCAGTTTCTGTAACAGACCAAATGTATAAATCATGCAAGGTGAGAATTCTCAAACATTTGTCCCAAAGGTTCTTTTTCAAAAGGCAACTGGACTTCCTTGGTTTTTTTTCCTTGAAAACCTTTTGCTTCTCATCCAAGAAGCTTCTTCAGTTTCATTCTTCTTAGATGACAAGCAAAAGGCTGAATCTCAGTTATCCTGTTCTTAGTAGAATTCCTGTCTGGTCCTGTATGTTCTCAGCTGGTAAATTCTAAATGTTCTTGAGAACTTCTTGAACTCCATTCTATTGAACTCTTCAGCCCCAATGGGAGACATCCCTGTTCACATAACTGTCTTCTCACCTTCTGTGAGTGAGATGGGGTGGTGGTTCAGAAGAATTTATATAGTCTCCAAAGCCCCTGAAGGCAGGACAAGAAGCAATGGGTGGAAACTAATCAAGGAGAGAAGCAATCTAGAATTAAGGAGAAATTTCCTGACAGTGAGAGTAATTAATCATTAGAACAACATGCCTCCAGAAGTTCTGGGTGCTCCAACACTGAAGGTTTTAAAGAAGAGATTGGACAGCCATGCTATAGGGTTTCCTGCCTCAGCAGAGAGTTGGACTAGAAGACCTCCAAGGTCCCTTCCAACTGCGTTATGCTGTTATTTGGTTGCACTAAGGGGATTTAAGGTTGCCCACAGAGCTCTGTGTTTTTGCACAGTGGCAAAAAACTAATTTGCCTCTTGGAAAAATGCTATCAAAATCTCTGTTCCCTGCAGAGGCAGCTTAAACACACACCCTTCCTTCCTCATTTTGTTTTATAGTCAGAATTCAAAGCCACAATGCAAGCTTGCTCTTGTAGAGCTTTTTCTGCTGCCATCTGCTGTTTTGGTTTCAGAGAGTAGGGAAAACTGCACAGAGATGAAAGCACAGCCAGTTCATGTACAGATGTACAACCCTTTGTAGGGAACAGTTAATAAGAATGTGATTTTGTTAATTTTTCAAAGGGATTTCCCCCACCGAATCAGAGCCTCAGAACTGATTAAGTTTCTCAATAATCCAACATGTCAGGTTATCAGGTTGAGGCATGCAAATATAAACAAATGTACTTTGTGGTAACTATTTACATGACTTTGCATTCTTTATAAAATGAGGAACTGATTGAAAATTTAGCTTTTTTCCCCATGAAGATGATAACATTTGGAAGGACAAATAACAGTCAGAGCGCCCTAAATATTGGGATAAGGTTGTTGGCATTTAATGAGGAGAAAAATACCTCTGGGGTTATTGTGAACTTGGGAGTTGACTGGGCTCATAAATAAGTACAAGAAACACAATAAACCTTTGCAGTTTCTATAGCTGAGAAAATGTGCAACGCATGGGTATGCAGTAAATGTGCAAAAAATGTACATGCGGGGTTATCAAGTTCAGGTATGCAAGTATAAATGAATGTCCTCCTTGGCAAGGCCAATTCCATTCCCATGCATTCTTTCAAGATTAAGAGGTAATTAGGAAATATTAATTTTCTTCTTCTTTTCCTTGAACAGGGACACCCTGGTCAGCCAGGACCCAGAGGTCTTCCTGGTTTAGATGGCTGTAATGGTACCATTGGAAGTCCTGGTACCCCTGGATCAGATGGATTCCCTGGTCCACAAGGACCACCGGTATTTCTTGATGTAGTTTTTGTCATATAGGTTGAGATAGGTGGTTGGGAAAGAGATCTGGATATCTTAAACCTATGTTTCTCAACCTTGGTAGCTTTTAAGGTATCTGGACTTCAACTCCCAGAATCCTGGGAGTTGAAGTTCAGACTTCTTAAAGTTGCAGTTGAGAAACACTGTCTTAAATAGGTACTACTAGGAATGGTTCTAAGGCAGAGGTGGGCAACTATGGCCCCTTTATGACTTGTGGACTTCAACTCCCAAAATTCCTGAACTAGCATGGCTTGCTCAGGAATTCTGGGAGTTGAAGTCCATAATTCATAAAAGGGCCATAGTTGCCCACCCCTGTTCTAAGGCCACTTACTGTGTAATAACTGTTCCTAGAATAAAGTGGTAAAAAGATTTGGGGGAAATCTAATTCTTCATTTAGCAGCCAAGCAAAAAGTCACAGATCTCTTATCACATTACATCATGTCAACTCTTTCCTATCTTGAGAGGCAGATGATTGTCTAGAGATACTTCATCGATGCCATCCTCTTTGGGGAAGTCCAACTATGGCATTGAGTAGATTTATACATTACAGCAAACCATAGTCCCAACTATAAATAAGCAGCAGTATTCTAAGCCATGGTGTGTGGTTGGTTGACCACAATAGCTAGATTTAAACAACAATAGCTGGATTTAAATTTGTTGAAACAAAATATAAACAGGCTATCCTAAATTCCAGATGTATTGTGGCTTAAAATGTTATCTGAACCATATACTAGTAGTACTTATTCAGAAATGCATGCAGCTTAGCCTATCTTCAGGGGGCCAATACCATGATGGCCTTCCAAGAAACACATCTGACATAACAGATGACATATAATGTCTTCAATGTATATCAAATTGGTTGGTTGGGTTCTGTTGGGTTGAATTTGGTTGAGTTGGATTGGTTGATTGATTAGTTGATTATGTGCCATCAAGTTGATGTCACTTCATGGAGATCCACCTAGATAGATTTTTCTCAGTGACAATCTATTCCTAAGTGGTCCTTCTGAGCTTCCAACAGTGCATCCATCATCGCTGTAACAGAATGTATAGAATGCAAATGAATTCTAAATGCATTTCTTAAATTTTTAATTTCAGCTTCAGGACAACTAAGCTTTGAATTTACTCTGACTATCTTTTTTATTTATTTTTGCTAAAGAGTATCTTTTGCTCTTGTTCTCTTAATTTCTATTTCTAGGGTCGTCCTGGTCCTAAAGGCCCCAAAGGTGAACCTGTCTATGCCCCGGGAATTTTTAAAGGAGTGAAGGTAAGAAATGTCCAGATAAAGGAACTCTAGCAGGAGGTCTGTCTAAGGCTCTAAGCAATTACATTTGAAATTTTCATTTAGGAGGAAGAAGACAGCTTCAAAAAGGTTATGCCTGTTTTTGATAAATTGGCTTTAGAAATATAAAAACTCCTTGCAGGTCATTGACCATAGTGAAATAAATTTGATTATTAGATTCCAGATTAACCATGGAAGCTAAGAATTTGAAAAATAATGCTTGATAAAAGGAGTCACTTTTTAAATTCAACACATGCAGACACCCCCTGAATGCCAGTAGAAGAAAGCAACCAACTTCCTATCTAACTTGGAAGTTTCCCAGATGTTCCAAACTGGAATCTGCCCAGGTATCTGTGGAGATTCTCAGGCACTGTTTTGGAATAGTTGAGTTAAGGCTGACAGAAAAGTAACCTGTGTAATGTTTATATAGTGATCCCTATTTTTTTTTTACAAGCAAATGCTTTCTACAATACATTTCCCTGCTAATCTATGTTTCATCTAAGTGCTTGCTATGTTTATGTTATTATTTAGGGAGAAAGAGGTCTTCCTGGCCTGGATGGTGCTTTTGTAAGTTCATTTCCCGTGTAATTTCTGTTTTTCTTCCCTGTGTGTTGCATTATTTTTGGCAAAACACGGTTAGTAAAGAGAAAGAAAGTTTTGACTAATAATACTGTTGAACTATCCTTAGAAAACCTTAGTCCCGAATCTACCTCGGCCGTTGAAGCTTATTAGGTGACTTGGCTTGTCACAACCACAACTCACATTATAGACTTCTTAAGAGGAGGGAAGTACACTTGATCACCTTGGGAGGAAAATAAGCAGATAAGGTAGAGAAGGGGCGTTTTACTTTTCTTCACTACTGTTTAATCTTTACAAAACTTGCATAACCACCAAACTGTTTGCAGAGAGGAAATTCTACAATTAGGAATATAGTCCAATGTTCCCCTGCAGAGTTCCACACTGTGTGTGGTAGAAGGACAAACAATAGCTTTCTTGTTAGAAGAGGAAGATACTAGTAACACATGTGTCCAGTACAAGGCAAAAGGATGTCATATGTGCCATGTCACCATGACATAAAATATCATGTTTGTGGTACCTCTGGCCCTCACCACAGGTAGCCAGTAGGGAACTTTTGTTTATGATTAGTATTTTTCCTATTGGGGATTTTTCTAGAATTTCTGATTTAAGTCTGTTAGATCCATTTATTTATTTATTTATTTATTTATTTATTTATTTATTTATTTATTTATTTATTATTATTTATTTATTTATTGTGTCAAACAATTATTAGATAACAGGAATAAGTATAAACATGGTTATAAATACATGAAATGGATACGAATAAGAAAAAAAAAGAAACAATAGGACAGGGACGGTGGACACGTTTTGGTGCGCTTATGCACACGCCCTACAGACCTCTTAGGAAAGAGGTGAGGTCAATAGTAGACAGTCTAATGTTGAAGATTTTGGGGTTTGGGAAAGAAATCACAGAGTCAGGTAGAGTATTCCAGACATTGACTACTCTGTTGCTGAAGTCGTATTTCCTGCAATCAAGTTTGGTGTAGTTTATCTTTAGTTTGTATCTATTTTGTGCTCTTGTATTGTTTTGGTTGAAGCTGAAGTATTCATTGATATGTAGGACATTGCAATATATAATTTTATGTACTATACTTAGATCAGACCGAAGGCGTCGTCGTTCTAGGTTGTCTAGGTCTAAAATTTCAAGTCTGGTGACATAAGGTATTCTGCTATGAGTAGAGGAGTGGATGACTCTTTTCATAAAATATTTCTGGACTTTCTCAATTGTATTAATATCAAATATGTAATGCGGGTTCCAGACTGATGAGCTGTATTCAAGTATTGGTCTAGCAAATGTTTTATATGCTCTCATTAGTAGTGTGATATTACCAGAGAAAAAGCTACACAGAATTAGGTTAACAACTCTTTATGCCTTTTTGGCTATGTAGTTACAGTGGGCTCTAGTGCTTAGATCATTTGAGATCAGTACTCCAAGGTCTTTGACAAAGTTTGGGTCATCAACAAGGTCTGGACTATTCAGCTTGTATTTTATTTTTTGATTTTTTTTGCCAATATGCAATACAGAGCATTTACTTGTTGAGATCTGAAGTTGCCATTTGTTTGACCATTCTGACACAAGTTGAGGTCTTTTTGAAGGGTAGCAGCATTGTCAGTGGTGTTGAATAGCTTTACATCCTCAGAGAAAAGAACGCAGTTGCTCTTAATATGATCACAGAGGTAATTTATGTATAGTATGAAGAGAATTGGTCCTAGAACACTGCCTTGGGCAACACCACTGTTGGCAGGTACAGGATTTGATAGGACGCTCCCAATTTTGACCATTTGTTGCCTGTTTGACAGGAATGCTTCTATCCAGTTATGCAGATATCCAGAGATACCATAAGACCTTAGTTTTAGGAGTAGTTTGTCATGTACCACTAAATCAAAGGCTTTACAGTCTGTAAATTGCGTCAATTGCTTTGCCCTGATCGAGTTGTGTAGTCCATATATTTTTACAGTGTAAGAGTTGCAGATTACAGAATAGTTTTTTTTCTGAAACCAAATTGTTTATTTGAGAGTCGGTTGTTTGTCTCTAAGTGGAGGATGATGGATTGGTTAATAATTGATTCCATGACTTTACAGGTGACACAACATAAAGAGATTGGTCTGTAATTTTCAACTAGGCTGGATTCTCCCTTTTTGAAGATGGGGATGTATGGCTAATGACCATAGTTTTGGCAAGGAGCTGGTCCTGAAAGATTTTTCAAAGATTATGCTTAGAGGTTCGGCTATGGCAGTGGATAGCTTTTTAAAGAAATAGGTACATACTCCGTCCGGTCCAATAGATAAAGATGGTTTTCGATTGCGTAGTGCTTTTTTAACATAGTCTTCTGTAAAATTGATATGTATTAGATCATTGTAGTTGTCCGTGGTTCGACTAGGAAATATTGGGCATGATCCATTGCTGTTTACAAATACTGAGCCAAAGAATGTGTTAAAGAGGTTGGCTTTAATAGTGTCATCATTGCAGTCTTTACCATTTGGTTCTTTTAGGGGTGGGATGGACCTTGAATCTTTTAGTTTGTTGTATACAAAACTGTAGAAAGTGCGGGTGGAATTGGTGCATAGAAGGTTTTCCTCTTGTTTAATGTGATAATTGGTACATTCAGTCTTTATCTGGTGGCATAATTTTTTGTATCGGCTTTTAAAGTTGGCAACGTGACCAGATTTATTTTTCCACCAAAGGGATTTCTTTTTGGATTGGAGCTTCCTTATTGTTATGGATAATTTGTTTTTTCTGGTTTTGGGAGTTGTTATTGGTACATATAGTTTGATGACTCTTTTGACTTCAAGTAAAAATATGTTGTAATGGTCTTCAACAGTATTGCATCCAGTGAATAGAATTTGCCAATCAAGGGATGAGAGATCATTGTCTATAAGATCATAGTTGCCTTTTTTGAAGTTATAATTGGGGATCCTGTTGTTATGGTGATTTTTGTGTGAACATATGTTGAGACAAAAGTCAATCATGCTGTGGTCACTGTTGAAAAGAGGTTCATTAATTTGTATTCCATAAATTGAATTCAAACTGTTGCAGAAGATGAGATTGAGGCAGTTGTTAAGTCTAGTATTGTTGGTGGTTAGTATTAGTATTTGGGGGGAGCAGCTCCCAGAAATAGTTAGACAGAGAGGAGGGGGTGGATAGTTAGAAGGGGGGATGAGATAGAGAGAGATAGGATGGATAAGCTAGAGAAATGGAAGAGAGAGACATGGATGGATGAGATAGAGGGAGAGAAAGAATGGATTGGATAGATGGATGGATAGATAGATAGATAGATAGATAGATAGATAGATAGATAGATAGATAGATAGATAGATAGATAGATAGATAGAGGAGAGGGGGAGAAAGAGGATGGATGGATAAGATGGATGATAGATAAACAGACAGACAGACAAATATATCAGCTTCTGGTTGTCCAACTTCCTTCCATGAGAAAAATCCTTCAGCCCCCCCAGCCTCTAATACATTCCTTATGTAGGTTTAGCTGAAAGAAAAGGCAACTGGATGGGAAAGGAAGATACAGGGAAAAATCAAGAGGGAAGGGGGAAAAACCCTCTTAAAAATCAGTTTCCTACATCCAGAGCAAACCTTTTTCTTGGCTGGCTTTTGGGCTTTTGCAAATAAACAGATATCCTGAAATTTATTTCTACGTTTCGCATCATGTTTTTATCCTGCGGGGGAGTTTTGAATCTTGCTCTTGGGATTGTACACTCCAGGAGACATCCTCTTACCGTGGAAGTAATCAAACCAATAACAAGAGAGATGATAATAACAAGAGATAACAGCACAGTTCTGGTTTTGCATTTATACGTGATTATTGTGTTTATGACACTGTGATGAGTTTGGGTTACAAATCTGGCTGCAGGCACTGCATGAAGACATTCAACTCATTTGGGAATGAGCAGGACACGTGACCACTGAAGTTGCTTTCTTGCCTTTGTTGTCCTTCTCAACAGGGACCGAAAGGTTTTCCAGGTCGACCAGGGCCTGCTGGTCCCATCGGGCTACCTGGATTTCCGGTAAATCATCCTTTTTTTGTTATTAATTACATCCTGAATAATCTACCATTGTAGCTAGTTCAGAATATATGAAGTAGCTACTGTTATTTATAGTATTTAGAATCAGAATAGGTCTTCTAGTCCAGCCCCTTGCTCAAACTGAGAATCCTATACCATTTCAGACAAGTGATGGTCCACTCTCTTCTTAAAAACCTCCAGTGATGGACCCACAAACAATTTTTGAAGGCAAGTCGTTCCATGGGTTAATTGTCCTCACTGTTAGGAAGTTTCTCCTTAATTCCAGGTTGCTTCTCCCCTTGATTAGTTTCCATCCATTGTTTCTTGTCCTGCCTTCTGGTGCTTTGGAAAATAAGTTGAGCCCCTTCTCTTTGTGGCATCCTCTCAAATCCTGGAATACTGCTCTCATGTCACCCCTAGTCCTTCTTTTCTCTAGACTAGCCAAATCCAAATCCTGCAACTGTTGTTTCATATGTTTTAGTCTCCAGGCCTTTAATCCTCTTAGTTGCTCTTCTTTGCACTTTTTCCAAAGTCTCAACCTCTTTTTTGTAATATGGTGACCAAAACTGGATGAAGTATTCCAGGTATGACCTTACTAAGGATTTTTAAAGTGGTGCTATTTCACCTGATTTTGATTCTATGCCTCTGTTTATACAACCCAGGATTGTATTCGCTTTTTTGGCTGCTGCCATACACTGCTGACTCGTGTTTAAGTGATTGTTCAGAAGGCTCCAAGGTCCCTTAATATTTATTTATATATAAATAAACCCCGATCTCCCTCACAGAAGCAGAATGACAAGGTGGGAAAGGGTTTAACTCCATCTCCTTTGGCTTTTGATCTACTGCAGTTTGGGTGGGATACATCTACCCTTTTTCACATCTATTTGCTTAAATATTAATATAAGGGCATCCGCCCAAGATAAGAGGTAGGAGTGAGGAGTGCAGAGGAGGATTTGGCACAAGTCAGCTGCTCTCATTTATTACTGAATAATTTATCTATCTCTCTGCTTCCTAAAAAAAAAAAGGCACTGTAAATAACTTTGGATATTCAAGGCATCATTCGCCTTTCCCTTTTTAACAACGGCTCCCTCTTTTTATTTATTTGTTCCACCCATAAACTGAAATTTGTTTTTCAAGTGCAACATCTGATTAATATTGTTTTCTTCCCATTTAGGGACCTCCAGGTTTCCCAGGACCCCCAGGAGCTATGGTAAGTGTGTTTGACTGGTCCTCGGCATTTTGCCGTCCATCAAATAAATAGTCTTGGGTTTTTTTTTTCCTGATGAACCACCTTAAGGCAACTTTTCTGCATTAAAGATGGACAGAATGTGCAAAGTAAGAATTTTGTTTTTATTGTTCTGTTTTGCTTGGTTGGAGAGGATGGAAATACAGGGAGTCCTCGACTGAACAGCAGTTTGTTTAGTGACTGTTCAAAGTTACAACTTACTGAAAAAAGTGACTTTTCATACTTATGACCATTGTAGCACCCCCCATGGTCACGTGGTTTACATTTGGATGCTTGACAATACTTCATATTTATTGTCCCGGGGTCCCATAATCCCCTTTTGTGACCTTTTGACAAGCAAAGTCAATGGGGGAAGCCAGGTTCACTTAATGACTGGGTTACTAATTTAATAACTGCAATGATTCACTTAACAAACTGAGGCAATATAAGTGATACAATGGGGCAAAACTCCCTTAACAAATTTCTCACTTAGCAACAGAAATTCTGGGCTCAAGTGTGGTCATAAGTCGAGGACTGCCTATAGTCTTGGAATAGCTTGTTCCTGGTATATTTCTAAATTATTTTCCATATTTGCATGCAGAAGCTTCAGTTACAGTGATTATAGATTATACTAGATATGAATCCACCAGATAGTTCTGAATGAATCCGGCACTTTTGATTACAGCTAGTTCTCAGCTTACAGCAGGGGGGGGGGTCTTCAAACTCGACAGCTTTAAGTCTTGTGGACTTCAAATCCCAGAATTTCTCCTCCAATCATGTTAGCTCAGGAATCCTGGGAGTTGAAGTTCATAAGCTTAAACTTGCCAAGTTTGAAAACCCTTGGCTTACAGCCATTCATGAAATGACTGTTTAAAGCGGGGGTCTCCAACCTTGGGAACTTTAAGTCTTTTGGACTTCAACTCCCAGAATTCCTCAGCTTTGCTGGCTGAGGAACTTTGGGAGTTGAAGTCCACAAGTCTTAAAGTTGCCCATGGTTGGAGACCCCTGCTTTAAAGCTACAACAGCACTCAAAAAGTTACAACGGTTGCAGCCTCCCACCTCCTACCATCATGTAATCAAAGCTCAGGTGCTTGGCAGCCAGTATATATTTATAAAGGTTGCACTGTGTCAAGGTCATGTGATAACCATTTGTGACCTTCTCAGCTGACTTCCAACCAGCAAAGTCAGTTTGGGAAGTTGGATTCACTTAACAGCTATATGATTCACTTAACAATTACAGTGATTCAATTAAAAACCAGGGCAAAAAAAGACATAAAATCAGATTTACAAGTGCTGACTAGCCACTCTATAACTGCTTTGATTAGCCACAGAAATGTTGGTCTGAATTGTCATAATGAGGACTCCCTGAATTAAATCTTTCTCAAGGCCTAAGATTACAAAATATATATTTGTAGTATATGCATTACTCCAAGTAATGCAGCTGTTTGTAGCTAACGATATTCTGTCCATTCCTATTGTGTCTGAGTGCTTTTAATATGACATCAAGCTAAAGAAATTAGTGTGAGAAAAGAGTAACATTTTAATACCTTGAACCCAAATAATTTAATTCCTCATCAACTCAGGTTGGATTACCAGAACTAATACTAAACCATTTTTTTTTTCAAACAGTGAATGTTGATCATTTTTGGAAGACAGATATAAGAAAATTAACTTTAATTCCATCCATCGTTTCTTTTGACTCCTGTTTGGATGTTTCTATGTTTCAGTTGGACCATTTCTGGAAAATAAAAATTACAATGGTTTGGTATTTATTTTTGTTATTTTGCAGGGCAGTAGCGGTTTAGTTTTCCATGGAGAAACAGGAGAAAAAGTAAGTAGTTGTATGTGTTTTGGTTTTGCAATAGGACACCAAATCTCTTTTTTCCTCAGATCAGTGCAAGATTAAGAAGATTGTTAACTGTTTTTCTACACGTTGGCCACTTATTCAAGTTTTTGCCCTGAAAACATGTTGCATATCAAGAAGAAGATTGGGCAATGGAGAAGAGGCTCAATTTTTTTTCATTCTGTCACTGCTTGCAACATACGATTTCCAAAATAGGTATCAGCTTCCAAATATTCTCCAGAAAAGCTTTATTTTCAACTCTTTTAGAAGTGATGGATATTAGAGCTCATCAAACTTTTTGTGGGAGACCATTCTAGAGAACCTGTTCAATTATAAACAAACCACCAAGGCTTCAGCTTCTTGACCTCCTGAAAGAGGGGGACAACCAGTTGCTTCTCCCAGCATGACCAAAAGGGTTGGGTTGATTCCAGGGGTAGATGGAGTTCTTAAGTAACCAAGAACCAAGCCATAAAATGCTTTTTAGAGGAAAACCAGCACTTTAAATGGCATTAGGAAACTGAGAATCCAAGGCAGGACCTGAAAAATAGGTGTAACATGCACCCACCAGCATCCACCAGGATAGATCTGGGCCATTGCACCACCTAAAGTTTTTAGATAGCCTTTAAAGATAGTCCCCTGAAGAATGCATTGCAGGAGTCTAGAGCAGTGTTTCTCTACCTCAGTATCTTTCAGATATGTGGACTTCAACTCTGTGGACTTCAACTTCCAGAATTCCCTAACCAACAGATCTCGGAATTCCTAAGATTGAGAAGTCCTTGTCTAACAAGAGTGGCGATGAAGGCATGAGCCACCTAATCAGTCTTTAAGATGACTTTTTTTGTATCTAATTTATTTACTTGTTGAATTTCTATAGCTGTCCATCTCAGTCAATGACTTTGGGAGGCTTACAATTCAAAAAATATATTATGATTAAAAATACTAATACCTGTTTATTTTCCAACTAGGGAGATGTTGGGCTGCCAGGACCAGCGGGACCTCCATCTTCCACAGGGACAGAAGAATTTGTTGGGTTGACCAAAGGACAGCAAGGAGCAAAGGTTTGTTCTTAACAATGGATAAACTCTGAATGAAATAGTTTTTAAAAGGATGCTGAAAGTCAGACTTGGTTTCTCACAGTTTCATCAACAAATTAGGCGTTTTTGGCAATAGTATAGAAAAGGTTGGGCATAAGTTTCTTCAGGCACATTTTCAATTTTCCAATCCACAGTTGCCTATCCGCCCTATCAAGGACAAGTGTAATACATATTTTAATTATTTTAATTAATTTTTTTTCCCCCAGTTTCCTCACATTTTGTAAATTTTATGATGTGGCTCTGTGAACTACACCTTAGGCGATAATAAAATGAACATCCAGGGAAATGTATGCAAAACTGCATATGTTAGAAGAAAATATAAACACATACTCAGAGAAACACATGACAAAAAAACCCCACAAATGTTCCTGCTAGCTTTTCAGCCCAATATTTGCAAATTTGCACAGAAAGAGATTAGAAAATGTGTTTCAGAAAATATGAAAGTTGAAGCTATCAAATGAGGCAGATTTATTCATGGCTGAGCACAGGGCAACACCAATTAATTTATTATGATATAAGCTTTGGCAGGCTAAGGTCTGTTTTGTTTTTTGAAGCAGACTCTAATCTAGGAAAACATTCATATGCCTGGATACATTTGTCATTCGGTAATGGAATAAATTGATGTGTAGGTGTAGTATGGAATGTCTGTTCCTGGAAAATTTAAAATGTTGTGGCTTAAATGAAATTACTCTTGGCTTTCTTGTAACTTTGATACTGTAGTGACTTTGGCTGTTATTTAAAAGATAGCACAATTAATTAATTGGAAATTCAGAGTCGGATCCTAGATTAACTCCTTGGTGAATCAGTAAACTTAACACATTCTTCTTTGTTAACAAAATGTAGGAATTTGCTGAGGAATTTAAGCATATCCTCCCAACCTTTCCTTCCCTGGGGAAAAGCAAAGATAAGAGAATGCAGCATAAACCTTCCAACAATTAAAATGATTTTCAGTCTGTTTAGAAAAATGATTATTCTCCCTTTCAAAAGCCCAGAAGAAAAATGCAATTTAAGCCAGTCTTGGACAATTCTTCATTTCAGTAAATGATTAACTCGTTTGAGGTCTAATTTCTGCAGAGTTTGATCAATTATTTCCAACACTGTTTTCCCCACCCCAAAGAATCCTGAACTCTTGAAAGAGTAGGACTCTTGAATGTTTGTCTCTGAGAATGTCAACTTTCCCGAGACAAGAGGCAATCAAAAGGATGCTCAAGGTTGTAATCATTACCATGGAAATGTTGATATACCAAACTATTTTTCAGCTAAATCTCTAGGTCGTGACATTCTGCTTACCCAGGTGGAAGATGTAATCTCTTAAAAAAAACAAATAGTGGCACTCAAATGGTAGCTTTTGATTTGTACCACGTACAATGTGTCTACTTGCTCAGTTGTCTTAATTTAACCAATATCAGTTCTTTGACTTTGTCAAGTTGTTTTGGCTATACATAATTGCAAACCACACTTTATCTTTCCCAGCAGAGTGCAAGAGAACTTTTTTGCTTCGGTATTAGACAATAGAAGAACAGAATTAGAAGGGACCTTGGAGATCTTGTAGTCCAACCCTCTGCCCAAGGCAAGAGACCTTAAATCATTCTGGACAAATGGTGGTCCAACCTTTTCTTGAAATCCTCCAGTGATAGAGCATCCACGGTCTCTAGAGGCAAGCATACCAGTGGTTAATTATTCTCAGTCAGGAAATTTCTCCTTATTTCTAAGTTGTCTCTCTCTCTCCTTGATTAATTTGCATCCATTGCTTCTTGTCCTGCCTTCAGGTGTTTTGGAGAATAGATTAACCCCCCTCTTCTTTGTGGCAGTCTCTTGAATATTGGAAGACTGCCCTTAATCCTTCTTTTCACTCGACAAGCCATGCCCAATTCCTGCAACCATTTTTCATATGTTTTTAGCTTCCAGCCCCCTAATCGTCTTTGCTTCTCTTCTCTGCACTCTTTCCAGAGTCTGAACATCTTTTTTATATTGGTGACCAAAGTTGGATGCAGTATTCCAAGAACTGAAAGGACCTTGGAGGTCTTGCAGTCCAACCCTCTGCCCAAGGCAGGAGATCTTATATCATTCTGGACAAATTATTGTCCAATCTCTTTTTGAAACCCTCCAGTGATGGAGCATCCACAGTCTCTGGAAGAAAGCCATTTTCCACTGGTTAATTTATTGTCAGTAAATTTCTCTTTATTTCTAAGTTGGCTCTCTCCTTGACTGGTTTCCATCCAATGCTTCTTGTGCTTCCTTCTGGCACTTTGGAGAATAGGTTGATCCCTACCTTCTTTGTGGCAGTTCCTTAGATATTGGAACACTGCTATCATGTCACCCCTAGTCCTTCTTTTCATTAACTTCATTCATGTGTTTTTTTGAAAACTGGTTCTCCTCACCCGAATTATCTGTATTAGAGCTCCACGGCTGATGCCAATGCAGAATATAGGAATGGCCTGTTTTCCAGACTCAACAAACTGATTCATCTTAACAATTTTGAAATAAGGTAACTTCACGCTGTATGTTAACCAGATGACTCAATATAAATTGACAGTGATGGTTAACCACGGTTTAGAATTTGGATGTCAATGTATCTACAGGATAAATGAATAGACCTAAAAATGAATGTTCACTCCTAGATCTTTCAGTACTGAGTAGTGATACATTACTGAGTGTTTTGATTTTGTATTTTTTGTTTCAGGGCGTTCCTGGTGTCAAAGGAATTCCAGGCCCACCAGGAGGTCCTGGACTTCCGGTAAGATGTTTCAGCCAACCTTTGTTGACCTCTCTCCCTTTGAAGAGGTTGGAAGTGGCACATAGTTCGGAACAAACCCCACCCCAACCAAGGAACCCATCTAGAATGAAGCCATGTTTGACAAACATGGAAGCAAAAGGGTCCCCATTCCTCTTCTGAACATGTGGAAAAAGGAGAAAGAACAGAACCTGAGCATCTTCCCCATCACACATTTGTCTTCTCCTTCTTCCCATCATCCCATCATTGTCTGAGTATGAGCATGGCTTCCACCCAAGGATAATAAGCCTTTGTAATGAGTCCTACAGTATTGGTGTATTTTCATTGCAATAATGGAAGCATACATTGTTGGCTTGTTTCTGTTTTTTGTTACATGTAAACAAATTCCCTCTAATGTAAATTGGGATTTTTGACAAATGCTTCTCGTTCAGAAGGATGGTTTCAATGACAGCTCACATAGGCAGAAGTTTTTATTACAGCTTCTTAGCATCTGGCACAATGACTCTTTCCCTCCTACCCTCCACCCCCACCTCCTCTGGTCCCTTCTTGGGTGGTGGCATGAATTTACTACCACCATGAAACATTTGCAGATGATGATGCTGTCTTTGTAATCTAAGAAAAGTGTGTTTTAGGAAACTTTGCAACCATGGAGTAAATTGTTTACTAATTGTGTCATTAAATTGCTTGCGGGCAGCCTCTTCTCCAAATAAGAGGTGCATAACTAGGGGTTTTCTGTCCATGGTTGGATATTCCAGAGATGTTCATCGATGTCTAAGGGAGACGCGTGATTTTTAATGTCACCTTTGAGTGAGTCATAATGCAGAAAATTGATTTTAAAAATGGAGTTGCAGAACAAACTGTACAGCGATGTCAGCAGGGGTGTGGCTTACAGATCCTCTGGGCAATTCATGCTTATAGATAAAACCTTACTTGAACTCATTTTTAACATACTGTAAATGATGAAACATGCTAAATGAAGGCATTGATTGCATGTAAATTCACCACAAATTAACACAGACTCTTTCTGTGTGCACATATTTTTATTTACCAGTGAAGTATAATAACTGGACAATATGAAATGTATTGATATTGCAAGGGAAAATATATGCATTTCAGTGATTAAAATAAACTGAAAATAAGGGACGGGATGAAACCCAGGAAAAAGAAAAATGAAAAAAACAAAGTTCCATGGTATTAAATAAAATTAATTCAGGCCTTAAATATACATCTGTTAAGTGTTAAATATAGACTATGTTGAGTCATGTTGCTTCATCTTTTTATTTTTTTACTACTATGGAGGCAACTTGGCATTGATTACATGAAAATACTTTTATGAATTGGGGGCATGATGGCTCAGGAGTTAAAGACACTGAATTTGTAAGCTAGAGAGCTGACAGTCCGAGTTTGATCCCCGAGCTTCACACAATGAAGTATGCTCCCATTACTTGCCCCAGCTCCTGACCACCTAACACGGGGGTCCCCAAACTTGGCAACTTTAAGGCTTGTGGACTTCAACTCCTAGAATTCTGCAGCCAGTATAGCTGGCTGGCGAATTCTTGGAGTTGAAGTCCACAAGTCTTAAAGTTGCCAAGTTTGGGGACCCCTGACCTAACAGCTCGAAAGCGGGTAGATAAATAGGTACCACTTTGGTGGGAAAATAACATTGGCATATAGCCATGCTGGCTACAATGCCACGAAAATGTCCCCAGACAATGCAGGCTCCCTCAGCCAAGAAATGAGATGAGCACATTGCTCTAGAGATGGATATAACTGGACAGGGAAATCTTTATCTTTACTTTTTCCTTTCTGAAGAAACATCAATGGCTACTATTCTTTTCTTTTTTTAATGAAATAAAGATGTACTCATTAACTAACACAACACTATAAGGATGTTTAAAAAATTGGGGGAAAACTGATGTCGTGAATCCATTCTTTAATGTTTAGAGCACGGATCTGTTCCACTTGCATAAAATAACTTATTTTGCTGGCTCCCCGGGCTTGGAAAAGCTACAGTTCTTTATAAAAATGTCAACTTTAATATTTAGGGAATATAATTCAATATTATATTTACATCATGCAGTAGATAATGTACTGACTTATGGAATTCAAGACTACGAGATATTACAATGTCCATAGTTTGGGCAGTTTTGAAAAAGAGATCAATAATATTGACAGATTAAGCCTTGTAGCAGTCATGACAGTTATTTAAAACTTTGAGACAATAACCTTTTTGATATCCATTGTTGAGAAGTGTGATAAGAAAAGGCAATTTGCTCTTGACTTATGTATCCAACTTGGAGGTTTCTAAGAAGTGTCTCATTAAACCATAGTAGAATATTGGATGCTAAATCCTGGTGCAGAATAGCAATCCCTTATCTTCCCATAATCTACTACAATCTGGTTGATGCTGGTACAGGTGGCTTCAATCACACAAGAGATCTGAGTAAATCATATAAAATGCAATATGCATTATCTCATTCTGATAATCAACGTAGTCTTATCCAACCATGTGAATGGATTGGGTAAATAAATTTGAGTTGATTCAGATTTTTTGTTGAACTGCTAAGTTTGAGTTGATTCAGATCTTTTGTTGAACTGCTAAATAAAGTCAGTTGGACTCAAATGTTTGAGTTGATTCAGACAAAGCTATATATGCACACACCTGGCACTCCTGTTCTTTATTTTGCACAATCGTTTTTTTATCCCCATCCAGTCCTTTCATCCTAAACATGGTTTCTGCTGACTTACTTATGCCTCTGGGAGAACTATGGAGTTGGAGATGTGGTTTTCAGCATCAGACTGCAAAGCAGAGAGCTCTGGCATCCGACTGTTTGGTAGGAAAAGTGTAAGTCTGCACAAAGACATGGAAGGATCAACCTTATCCTTGTTCTTTTTCTTTTTGTGTGTGTTTTGTTTAGGGTTCCTGGGGCTTCGGAGAAAAGGGAGAAAAAGGCATCCCCGGTTTACCAGGACCCAGGGTAAGAAGCTTCTAAATATCTCGCTCTCTGGAAAATATTTGTACCGGTAGTCCTCCACTAATGACTAATTGCTTAGCAAAGATACGCCAGACTCCCCCAAAGGATTGGGGACTAAGACTTAGAGCATGTCCAAGCCCAGTGGAGGAGCCTGTAGATGTCAAACTGGAGCACATACTCAACAGCACATTGGATTTCCTTTCATTTTAGGGAGACATGGGACTGAGAGGACTTGATGGAAACATAGGCAGAAAGGTATGTTGTGTGGTCAAACACATCTTTATTCATCTAGCAGAAGATGCCACGGTGGGCATTTTCTGGTGAGATCCAGCAAAACATTGCGTACGTCTAGTTTTATATGGGAGATCCTGGATCTTGATCCTTTAAAGGAGAAACTATTTTATCAAGACTTTGGGCAGACAGTTGGGCTCTTAATTATTTTCAAGTTTCAAAAGGCAGTTGAGACCGTTTAATTCTTTTCCTGGACCTTTGGAATGTAAAGGCATTGCAGAGCACATGTTTAGGCGATTTGGGTTTTTAATTTGATTGGTGACTCAGTTTGCTTCTTCATGAGCATGCAGTGTTACTGTATACAAGAGCCTATCCAGAGTTTTTCATTAGAATTGGCTTGCTTGCTTGCTGCTGAAAGGTGTTATGCAGTGTGCAGAATACATTATTTTTCAATAAATGAATAAGGACAGAAGAAAGCAAGGAGAAAACCTCCGTGTTCCTCTCATTCTGAATCATCTTTCATTGTTTCATCATTCAGGGAGTTCTGGGCAAAGCAGGATTTCCTGGCTGGGATGGCTCTCCAGGTGGAAAGGTAAAAACCCCTCCCCCCAAAGAAAAATTGACCAGGTAGCACAAATATTGTAGCTTTAGACAAGACAGGGAAATAGCCCAAAAGTAACTGTGGCTGGCTTTTCTCTTTTTAAAAAAAATAACATTTTTTTTAAATTTTATTTTATTCATGATTTTAAAATGCAAACACCAAAAACAGGAACCAAAATACAAAAACCAAACTAAACAAGAGATTTCAAAGGGGAATAAAACACCTACACGTAGATTTCCTCCCAGTTGAATATTGGTAAATATATTTCAATGATAGTTTGAATGATAGTTTCCCCCTCTTGCAAAACAAGCCCACAAATTATGAACTTCTGTAACTCTCTTTACCCAATCAAGTCCTTTCCTGGTCTGTCACTTCTTCACTTTAGGTAGACCTGGGAAGCAGACATTGAAATAAGGATATTATTAACGTGTTTGTAAGGCAATTCCAATATAGTAAGGCTCAAATAGGGATGTTTCTTGATTCAAAATAGCTAAAAAGTAATGTTTTCTTTTTTAAGGAGAACAGTTCTAGCCAAGTTTTGTCCCTGAGAGATTCTGTATTACAGAGATTTTGGGTGTGTGTGTGTGTGCATACAATCATTCAACCATGCCACCCACCCACTTTGTATTTGCCAAGATACACTTTGGATGAAGCAGAAGCCTTTTGACAAAACTGTGAAGCTCTTGTGTTTTCTATTTCTTGCTTTCAGGGTGAATTTGGCGATGTGGGTCCACCAGGCCCTTCAATAATTGTTGACAGAAATGGCGCTGTCATATCAGGTGGATGATTTTCTTTACAACTCCATGTCTTTTTAACATGTACGAAGAATAAGAATAAGAAAAGAATAAGTTAAAAAGAATGAAATGTTTCTCAAGGCTAGATTAGGGTTACTACACTTGCTCTGTACTGGAGTTCCATGACATTCAAATCAGAGTAGACCACAAGGAGTGCCTCCCAGAGGGATCACATTGCAGATCCCATCATCCCCACCTGATGCGCTGAATGGCTCTATTTTCTTGGGATATGGGAATGCATCTGGCAGAACCACTAGAGGATTCATAAATGCAAAATTGCTGTATCTGGCTTGTCTGAGCAATCTTCTGTTGTGGAAATTGTTACTGCTGGCAGGATTGTGTGATTAAAAAAGCGGGGAAACCCTTCAACAAAAGAACCTGGAGTCAGAAGAGTCCTTAGTGTTCCTAACATCCAGCCTTGGTTCCATGCAGGAATCCAAATTAAACCCTGTGAAATATGTCCTTCAACTATCACTGTTTTATAGAACATCTTCTGGAGAAGAAGAATCAATTTATTTTTAGAATAGAATTCTTTATTGGCCAAGTGTGATTGGACACACAAAGAATTTGTCTTGGTACAAATGCTCTCAATATACATAAAAGAAAAGATACATTTGTCAAGAGTTAAGAATCATAAGGAACAACACTTAATGATCATCATAGGGCACAATAAGCTATCAAATCATACTAGGAAACAGTCAATATAAATCATAAGGATACAAGCGACAAAGTTACAGTCATACAGTCACAAGTGGGAGGAAATGGGTGATAAGGAGTGATGAGAAGATTAACAGTAATAGTAGTGCAGACTTTGTAAATAGTTGAACAGTGTTGAGGGAGCCCATCTTCTCCTTTTACTGTCTTCCCCATCATTTGACCAATGCAGGATATACAGACAGCAGGAACGTGACTCAGAGGTCCCTAGAATTGGAAGGGGACCTTCAGACAATGAAATCCAAACTTCCATTTAGTGCAGAAATCACATTTAAATCATCCCTGCATGTTTGGTCAGAATGAACCAAGAGAGTTTCACCCATCACAGACTTTATCTCTTGGTCTTCCTCCTTCTCCGTGGAACCAAAGGATAATTTAAATGCCAATTTTCTTTCCAAGGCAGTTGTTGTAGAATGTCTAAAGGACCTCTTTGCATGTCAAAGGTCTCTATTTCAATCCTATGCATTTCCAGATAATGTTAGGAAAAGTTCTGAATTGATCAGTTTAGGCACCATTGAATTTTGTGGGTTCTAACTCCAGCTAAATCAGCTTCTTGGATTCCAAAAGTAGGCTACTAATACAATGAGTGAGATAAATGAAGAGAAGTTCTGAAGTTATTTTCTTTCCATCTTTTAAATCCTAGGTCCCCCTGGAGACCCCGGCACACCAGGAACCCCTGGCCCTAGAGGAGATGAGGGGAGTATTGGTTTGATAGGATTTCCTGGGCAACCAGGACGTCCTCCAACCTTTCCAGGTAATCTAGTTAAGGATCCATGGCTGGTGAGAGAATCCAGGAGTATCTTTATGTAAGAAGCCAACTTCAAAGTATCGGAGGTGTTTTCTAATAAGTGTTGATCATGTCTCTAGAAAGACATGGCCGTCATGATTCTGACAAAAATGTCTCAGAAAATACCAAAGAGAAAAATACAGTGAAACAAAGAAGAAGGACTTAGAGGAACTTTTAATATGCTTCACATATTGGTGCAAAAAGTGGGAAATGGTGGAAAATGTAGTTTACTGATATTTAGAGTGGGTTTTCCAACTACCTGATATCCTTTGCTTGATTTCTGGAAGGAATCAATGAAATTATCTCCCTCTATCCATCCTTCCTGCTGTATTTCTGTTGTTCTTCCATCTTTCCTCACCCAGTTTCATCTTGATGATGATGATATCTGTTCAGTTGAGTCTGACTTGGTGATTCTATGAGCCAGGTCTTTCCACATCTTTTTATCTTGCACTTCTCTGAATTTTACCGTGTTTCTCCAGCATGTTTTCTAGGCATAAAATGAAATTAAGCCCCTCCCCCTAGTTTAAAACATGCAAAATTGGGGGGGGAGGCAGGGGACTTACCATTAGGAGTGCCCCGCGGGCAGCTACGCCTCACTATCAGCCACTCCTAACACTATGGTGGAGCACAGAGGGCTCCCTTACCCCTTTCTTCACCGGGTCAGCAGGCGGTCGGCGTCGGCATGGATGTCCGGCAGCATTTCAGCCACTTCTCAGGCCTCCGTAGCTTTCACAGTTCCCACCGGTGCTGGCGCCTTTCTTGCCAGTGCCGCCCCCCAACAACAGTGCCTGAGTCGCTCCCGCTTTTCCCCCATCCCCGTAACAACAGGAAAAAAATTTTTTTGAGGTACCTGGGAGCGCCACGCACTGCGTTTTGATTTAATCCCGAGCGGCTGGGTGGACATGAGAAGAGCTGAGCGAGCGTCTCTGCTGCTGCTACCCTTGGTGCTCCAGCCTCGGGCTCTGCAAGTTTGCAAAAGTCCCGGTGTGCAGCCCTTTCCTGCATTCCAAGTGCCCAGGCTGAGCTGCAGCTGTCTGTCTCTCGCCAGCGCCATCTCCAATAACAGCGGCAGCGGCGGCGGGAACCGTGGAAGTTACGGAGGTGGCTCCCCCACCCAAGAAGCGGCTGAAATAATAATAATAATAATAATAATAATAATAATAATAATAATAATAA